GGGGGGTGGGGGGGGGCAAGCGGGACCTAGGGGGCCTCCCCACACCCGTCATCTCCAGGCCCAAACCTGCCCAAACCTGCACGTTTCCCTGAACACGTCAGGTTAACAGCCCAAGGCAAGGCTCCGAGCAAGGCCTGGGAAAACAAAAACAAAACGCTCTTAGTAATAATAATAATAATAACCTAAAGCCAGCCTGGTGCTGATACCTCACACCTGGTAACCCTAACCCTCAGGAGGCTGGAGGATTAGAGTTCAAAGCCAGCCCAGGCAGGAAAGTCCATGAGACTCTTACCTCCAGAAGTGGAGCTGTGGCTCAAGTGGTAGAGCAAAAACAGCTCCCGCACCAGCACCCAGGCCCTGAGTTTCAACCCCAGGACCAGCACAAAGTAATAATAATCATCAACAATAATAGGCACAAAATAACAATAATAATATCCTAAACTAAAAGGGGCTAAACATGGGGCTCAAGTAGTAGAGCCAAAAGCAAAGCCCTGAGTTCAGATTCCAGTACTGATCCACCACCCCCCAAAATGTCAGACGACAAGAAAAGTCAGGCCACCCCCAGTAACTCTCAAAAGAGTCTCAGAAATCTTAAGCCACCTTCAACGGACCCAAGACCTAGAAAGAGATCCTAAATTTTCCCCATGCAAGGGTGCTCATGGGTAATGGAAAGCTTCACACATAAGGTCCAATCCCCACCTTATGGCAGGATCGCCTGCTACTGGGCAAGGGTAGGGGGTCAGGGTAAGTACTGGCTGCCTATTTATAGCAAGCCTTGGGCTGCAGTCGATGGGACTTGGCTATCTTTAGCAGACGCTGGAATGGAAGGGGTGAGGCTGGGGAGCCTCCTGCCCTGTCAGGGAGGTTTGTTCTTGGCTGCAGTCCCCTCCACAGGCACCAGACCCTGGTGAAGGGTCCCAGTGGGCTCGCACCCGTGGACCGGCTGCTGCAGTTCCTGGTGGACAGCTCCAGAGACGGCATGGAGGTGGTGAACTGTGCCAACTGCGGGCTGGAGTGCAGCAAGGAGGCAGGCAGGGGAGGCCGAGGTGGAAGGGCAGTGGTGGTGGCAGGTGGTGTGCTCCCTACACTGGCAGCATGCACCCCGTGTCCACCCCAGAGGTAGATTTCTCAACCCCCTCTCAGCGCATCTCATGTCCCGACGTAGTTCTGTTATTCACCCGCACATGGAGACAGATGTCCAAGTGACTTGAGTCAGACGTCAGACACTGGTGAGGTGGAGGCCAGTGGATTCAAGTCGGTGGAGTTGTGACCTGCACAGGAAGGGGTCCCCAATCCACAGGTATAAAGCGTTCCTTGAGGCCTCCTTCTGCTACCTGAGCAAGCACAAGTAAGCAACTAAGGGGTGCAGGAGAGTGCAGTTGGAGAGAGATGTTCCTGCCCCCAGCTCACCCCAAGCTAGGAAAACCTAGCTACTCAGGACACTGAGATCCCAGGGTCATAGTTCAAGAAAGTTTGTGAGACTCTTATCTCTAGTTGACCACCAAAAAGCCAGAAGTGGCTTATGTGGTAGAGTGTTAGCCTAGAGTGGAAAGAGGTAAGGGACCAGCCCCAAGTTCAGGCCCAGGAACCAGAACAAGGTGGGGGGGGGGGAGAAAGAGACAGAGAGAGGAAGGAAGGAAAGAAGGAAGGAAGGAAGGGAGGGAGAGAGGGAGGGAGGGAAGGAGGGAGGGAAGAAAGACAAAGCACAGTACAGAAGAGCAGATAATCCCCATGTGAGCAAGTAGAGCTAGGAGACTGAGGAGTGGCCTTGATTGCCAACAGAAGGAGCTGGGCTTTATTCTGACACAGCCTTTGCCAGGATCACTCCCAGGGCTGCAACCTAAGCCCTGGACTCTCAGCTCTGGACCTGCCCACCTCCACTGAGTTGTAACCTCAGATGGCCAGGATGGACAGTACCATTTCTCCACCACTAAAGGGGCGGAATGGAGCTTGAAAAGCACTCTCTGTGTCTCCCTCTCTATCTCTCTGTCTGTCTGTCTCTCTCACACACACACACAATATTTTTCAGTACAGTTTCTGCACCAAATTCCCAAAGAACTGTCTCTTCTCCCTATCTGCCCTTTTCACATCTACTGACCTAGCTCTGGGCCTCCCGTGTCCTCATCTGCAAATGGGTACATTGGAGTGCGGGATGATGGGATGACAGGAAAGGACTGTGTTTAGCCTCAGACATGCCCCAGGCTGGGACAGACTCACTCAGTGAGATGAGCGATGTAGGTCCACCCCTGGCCAGCTGAGCTGGGGGTCTGGAGGCCTGGGCTGGAAGGCAACCTGAGCCAGTGCTCCTGCCCCCAGGACGCTGAGACCACGTACTTCTGCAACACCTGCGGGCAGCCGCTGTGTGCTCACTGCCGTGAAGAGGCGCACAGGGCACGCATGTTTGAGAGCCACAACATCGTGGCCCTGGGCCAGAGAAGCCACGACGTTATCCAGAAGTGCTGTAAGGCATGGGGACCCCCGTGGGCGGGGCTTCGCTAGGCACCGCCCTGAGGCTCACGGCAGCCTCCCCTGCCCCACCCTGCTGCGCAGCTCTTCACGGGAGCCTTTCATCCTGTTCTCCACGGACAAGAAGTCTTTGTTGTGCATCCGTTGCCTCCGGGACCTGCAGGAGTGCGTTGGGGGAGCAGGAGGGGAGGGGGCTGAGGGTGTCTGAGCCAGTCTTCTTAGCTGCCCCTCCCCCTTGCAGGGAGAGCCGGGCCCACTGCGTGGACCTGGAATCCGCTTACCTGCAGGGCTGCGAGCGGCTAGAGCAGGCAACGATGGTGAGCGCAGGTTGGGACCTGATCCAGAGGGGAGGAGGTGTAAGAACCCGGGAGCCGGGACCCTGAGGCTGCCCTGTCCTCCGCCGGCAAAGGCCCTGCAGAAGGCCACTCGGGAGGCCATGGAGCTGCTGCAGGCCAGGCTGGAGGAGGTGCGTCCCAGCGCTTCCGAGGAGGAAGCAGCTATCCACGCCCTCTTCAGCAGCTTGCAGGTGAGGGCAGGGGGGAAGGCGTGCTGTGCAGATTCCTCAGCACCACCAGGGAGGGAGGGAGGGAGGGCCTCCCTCTTGTGAGTTTCCAGTGTCCTGGGGCAGATGATGAGCCATCTTCTTGCCCACAGGTCATCCAGTCACTCACAGCTCCCTGGAGAATCCCAGGGGGACGGCCAGGCCAGGCTTGGGGGCATGGGGGAGGGGGAGATTGTCTGCAAAGTCCACACCTGGGAGGTGACATTTAAGATGAGGGTGCCCAGGCTCTCAGGCACTGGTAAGCAGGAAGGAAGGAGCTAGCCAGCACCCCTGCACCATACCCCAGGCTAGTGGAGGGGAGGGGGATGACACAACCAGGTGGGTCAGTGGAGGGCTTTCTCTCCCAGGACAAATTGGCAGAGAGAAAAGCTTTGCTACTACAGGCTGTGCCGAGGTGAGTGGGGCAGGGCTCCGTTCCCTTATCCCTTGGTATGTAAGTACCCAGACCAAAGCCTAAACATGTACACGCTCTGCTCCACCAGGGGGGTAAGACATCCAGGTGGCCCTCAGCAAAGGGGGAAGGTACTCGGGGGAGGAGAGTAAGACTGCAGATCTGAGACCCTCAGGGGAGGGCGGGCAGCCTTTCCCCAGGAGCCCAGGTAGCCTGCTCCTCCCCAGCCAATACGAAGAGAAAGACAAGGCTTTCAAGGACCAGCTCTCCGGCCTAGCTGCCTTGCTGCCCACCCTGCAAGTAAGCAGATCTAGGGGCGCAGGGTGGGGCACCCCGGCCCAGAGGCCAGGCGCCAGGCATCACTGATCTCCACTGCAGGTTCACCTGGTTATCTGCTCTTCCTTCCTCAACCTGGCCAACAAGGCTGAATTCCTGGACCTGGGCTATGTGAGTCTCCAGCCCCCCCACCCCCAGCCTAGGGGTTCGCCCTGTGTACAAAACTGCCACTTCAGGGTTTAGTAAGCCAGGGGGGTTCTGGGGCTGCCTTCACCCCATCATTTTACTTTAGGCATCAGGTGAGTACCTTTTAAGAACAAAGCCAGACACCAGTGGCTAATTCTTGTCATCCTAGCTACTCAGGAGGCTGAGGTCTGAGGATAACAGTTTGAAGCCAGCCTGGACAGGAAAGTCTGTGAGACTCTTTATCTCCATTGAACCACTGAGAAGCTAGCATGCCATCCTTGAGTGGATAAAAGCTAAAGTCACGCACCCAGGCCCTGAGTTTGAGCTCCAGGACCAGCAAAGAGTGAGGGGGAGGGAGGGAGGAAGGAAGGAGGGAAGGAAGGAAGGGAGGAAGGAAGGAGGGAAGGGAGGGAGGGAGGGGATGGAGAACAGTGAAGCCTGTGAAGACAGGGAAGTATATCTCTCAAAACACATAGTGTAAGTAGGCATCCATGGCTCAGGAAGCTGAAATCAGAGGATAGAGGTTCGAAGCCGCCCCGGGCAGGAAAGTCCGGGAGAAACCCGGAAATGGCCCTGTGGCTCGAAGTGGTGGGGCACAAAAGCTCAGGGCCAGTGCGGGACCCCAGGAATACCCCGGGAGCCCAGCTAAAACGCTCACCGGGGCCGTCCCCCCACCTCGCGCGCCTGCGGCCGCCGCCCTCCCCGCCGGAGCTGATGGAGAGGCTGCCGGGCATCGCGGCGCGGCCGCACCGTCTACGGCCAGCTCAAAGCAGCAAGGTGCGCGG